CCTCTGGGACATCAAGTGAGGCTAAGACAACAGTCCAGAGCTTTGCTAGCAAATCATGAGTCCCGAGTGTCTCTCCAGCTGGCAGGACCATCACTGACCTAAATGGCCTTGTCCTCCCTGACGCAGCTCTGCTAATTTGGCCACAATCCACTTAATAATGTAGCTAGAGTATAAAGATATATCCAGGCCCAACCACAAAACAGCTGGAGACTATAGGGTTGACTTAATCCTGGTAGAATAAAACAGGGAAACTGGTGGGAGTCAATAAGGATGTTGCTGGCTGGGTTTTGAGCAGTGTTGAGTAATAAAAGGGATCAAATGTGTTAGGCACAATCTGTCTGGAGCCGCAGTTGTTGTTGTTGTTTTAACTAATTGAATTTTAGTGCTGGTGAAAGGTACCGGATTGACAGCTCTGGGGAATACTGTCTGTTTTTTAGACCAGGTACAGCATAGGCAGTGAATCCCCTCTTAATCCCCATCTTCATCCAGACATTGTGCTCTCCTCTCATGGGGGAGAAAGAGGTTCAGTCCCTGACACAGTCAGCCTTTCCCTTGCGCAGCTGGGACCTCAGGCAGAGGGGCTCTTGCAGCCATCCGAAAGATCCTGGACAGACCCCTACCTAATTTCACAGCAGCGTTCAGGCGGCCGCCCATGGGAATGACTTTGGGCTGGGGCAGGACTGGAGGCGACGGGTCTGATCCCGGCGGCCGGGAGCTGTGGTTCTCTGCCTGCCAGAAGCAGCCGCGTACGTGATGGCAGCCCAGGAGGGCCTGGAGGCTGGGGAACGGCAGGGACGCCGCAGGCTGCCTTGGGGCAAAACCGGGGGAAGTTGCTGTTCACCATAAGAAACCTGCTTTGGCCAGCTGCCAGGAAGGCCGGGGAGAGAGCGCGGTGGCCAGGCCTGCGAGCGCCGAGGAAACCTGGAGCGCCGAGGCCAAGAGGGGGTTGCGATAGGAGAGCCGGAGGGAGCAGGAGCAGCATCCATGAGACGAGAGCAGCCTGTTGTGTCCTTCCAGAGCACAGCCAGGGCCTGGGGCAGGGCTGGAGGCAGAGATACGGGTGCAGGCAGCCGCTTGGTGACTTCCACTCTCTGGACAGGAGCTCTGCCCCTTGCGAGATGGAGATTGTTTGTATCCAACTTTGTGAAGTACTGAAGGGTTGAAAGCACTGAGTATTTTACTGCTGAAGGTACAAAAAGCAAGGCAATACCGGTGTTGCACACGCATCTGCCACAAGTTTTGAACGGGGTCAGATACTGGAGGGTTCAATGTCGAGGAGGTCCCTGGGGAAAGCGGTGAGGGTTGGCAGTGCACCCCATCCTGCCCACACACAGGGGCACGAAGGCTGCACCGAGGACGCTGGGATGAGCTGTGCTCCCTGCAAACCAGGGGGAGGTGGCTGTTTCCCAAGGGGATGCTATTAGCAGGGCACCTCATTAGCCCTGCTCTATAAATAGATGGGAAAAAGCCCAGGCAGGAAACAGTTGATTTTAGGAAGGGCTAGGTTTCAGGCTTGCCAAGTCTTGCTCAGGCAGGAGGGTCGCTCCTGCGCTTCGGAGGAGTTTTAAGGCAGCGTTGACAGCACTTCCCTCCACAAGGCACGGCTGCGCTTCCAGCTGCAGCTCTTAAATGCTCTTTGAATTCTTCTTGCTGTCTTCCTTGCTCAGCTTGCCACAGGGTGATGGGCAGCTCTGTAGCTCAGTTGTTAGGGACAAGCTGAGCCTTGGTTTTTACACGACTACTCTACTGCTCATATAGGTAGAGGCTTTGGAAGTTGTTCAGCAGAGAGCCTCTGCTAGGCAGGGATAAAAGCATCCAGGTCAGTCTGCCTTAAGGGAGGCTTGGACCGTCCAGGCACAGAATTTGAGGTTATTAAGTCAGTGAGCCTGATGGGCACAGAAAAGCAATTCCCCACAGGGCAGGTCTTCTTGTGACTCTTCCTCAAGCTTAGGTTAAGTCTTGTCCCGTTTACTGAACTGAATAGAGCACTAGTTTGCTTTGCTGCATTGATTTCTATATTCTGACCCATATCTTACGGGCGTTTATTGGGAACTGGCTTTGGTGTGAGACTTGCATGATATCATATTTCCAGCTGGGTCAGCCGCATGGGAAAACAGGCCTTGTTAATAATAAGGTGTGCCTCATCCCTGACAGTCCTGGGAGGAGGGAAAAGAAAACAAGGAAAGTTTTAAAAAAAGCCATTGCATTTCTGCATCTCAGACTGGACTATAGTTCAGGATTTTTTTCTATGGGGTCAAGCTCACTTTTAAAAGCGATCCTAAAGCAGCTGATCTGCCCAGACCCACGTGCTCCCGCTATGCGGGGTAAAGCTTCAGTCTATAGCTCTTACCTGGAGAAGCAATTGAGAAGGAAGGTCCCCAGCAGGTCTTGTCACTAGTTGTTTTTCGGTACTACCAGTTCTTGATACACAAATGCAGACAGGGGAATGTCATAAGTTTCTCTCTAAGAGAGCAGCCAGGTAGGGGCAGGTTACCCAGCTCCTATATAACTTTTTTTAAAACAAAAAGATAAACACAGCCTTTCACATCTGGATCTCTCCTGTGGGAGGGATGTCTGGGCTGGAGGACATGGGGATCTGCTGTCTTTCAATGTCACCTCAGTAATCAAAGTCCCGCAGATGAAGCTCTCGCTTCAGATGCTGAGGGCTCTGGCTGGTAACAACACACGGTATCTTCTCTCCACTTGTGGCCAGCCTGTTCTGCTAATTACTGAGCCAGTGTTCTTTGCAAATCACGCATACGTCACAGTCCCAGCATCAAGAAGAGCCAGCGTGAGTCAGACTTGAAAGCCCTGGAAAACACTGTGAGCTTCGTAGCTGGCTGTAGTCACGGTGGTATCTGAGCACTTCTGAAGCAGGAGTGAGCGGCGGCTGGAGGGAAGGAGCTGAGCTCTCTCCTGCCCTCCGAGTCCAATGACCCTTCTTGTGCGGAGCGATGGAAGGTGGAGCCAGACAAAACTCTCTGAGTTAAATCTGTTCAGGTCCCTGGTGCCAGCTCAGGCTGAGGCGCTCGGGGGCAGAGAGGCTGCGTGCTTCTGAGCCGACGTGGCAGCTAAAAGCTGTTTGTCGCTACGCTTCCCTGTCTCTGGGGTCTGTGTAGGCCACCTGGGCTACTTCTCGCTTGCCTGCAAAAGCTCCTCTGCCTCCTCGTAACGGTCAGCTCCGGAGGGGCAGTGGGCCCGGTCGGGTGTCCCACAGCCCCAGCGGTGGGGGGTGTCCCACAGCCCCGGCGCTGGGGGATGTCCCACAGCCCCGGCGCTGGGGATGTCCCACAGCTGGTGCGAGCAGCTGGCGCCAGCCGGGAGTGTGGGGAAGGGCAGAGTTGCCGGTGAAGGCTCAGGCTCCCTGTCTCTGCCTGCCCTGCTGTGTCCGTCTCCGGTTTAGGGTATCCGTCACACCTCGCTCGGGAGCAGAGAGACAGCAAC